AATTTTCTTCTGGAGTGAACTGTGTTCCTTAAAAATGACAGCTGACAAAGGAACATGGTTATAAGAGAAAAATAAAGAATACCATTTGTTCAGTGACATGTTAGGATATTGAAATAAATCAGAGCTGCATAAGACTCTTGTGAATCAGATGCTACAGCAGCTAGCAATTCGGAAGGAACTGAGCAGTTTGCAAAAGCCAATTCGATAATGTTTGGCTGAGATGGGCATTAGTTACAAACTGTTCTAATAAAGTTACAAATGAAAACTAAAGTATCACTAACCAACTAAAACATGAGATTATACCATGCCCAGAGACCATATGTTGTTAGAATTAATGCTTGAAGCCTACAGCTAGACCAAATGTAAGGGAACCACAGGAAGGAGTATGATACCATGTTAATATATTATGATCTATCTTCTCAGTGAAAGTGTAAGAAATTAGTTTCACTCTGTATTACACATTCTATTTAAAAACCATGAGAATAACAATATATTGATTTTAAAGAGCTAATATGGAGGAGCTAATTTGTTTCAGTGTTAGCTATATAACTATGCTTTTTTATGAATGCAATAAAATAATGAATACTGATACAAATTCTTCTGAAGAAGACATGAGCACCTGTATGATTGTAACAATAAATATAAAACACACACATATGAAATCACTGATGGTTTCTTCATTATCTGCATCTTCTGGTATACTGAACAGAAATGCTTTCCTAAATTAGGGCCTTAAACGCTGGAATCAAGGAAACAAAAATAATCTGTAAAACATCTATGGATCAGATTTAAGATTCAGTGTTGTGATTAATAAGTACAAAAAATGAAAAAAATAATGTGTTTATCTATATAATATGACTCTAGGATTGTTACCAGTCTGTATGTAACTCTGAAGCCTAGAATGTCTGGTGAGTCAGTAAAAAGCCATCAAACCATGGACAAACGTGGTTGAGAGCATTTTTTGTTCAGAATATCACCGTGTTCAATCATCACTGGAATCCATGGTCTAATAAAATCCAATTTTTAAGTTCTCAGTTTTTTACCTTATAAATTATATTTCTGAGACACCCAGGCATGTATGTAGGATGTGCCAAAAGAACTAGATTATTGTGATATTAGTGATAACACAATCAAACACCACCTTTACTCTTACAGCTAATTTGCATGCTGCTAAATTTTTATGAGGTAAAATGCACAGACAGTGGATTATTTGGCCTGACTGCCACTACCATGTAACAGCACAGGATTTCACTTATTAATACTCATTACATAGGAAGTGTACAATTATTACAACTGTAATATTCATTTTATTGCTTTTAATAGCATAGCCTTCATGACAGGTCAGAGATTGTGTTCACCTAGAAATCTTAGCTGGTTTTTTAAATAAAAGTTGGCTTTTGTATTTCATTTGGGAGATATATCTCAGAAATGGCTGCTATTCACCTCTTTAGGCCATTCAGGATCTGATATAAAAGTTTCTTCCCAGGTGTACCCACCTTCTCATAGAGTTGTAGACTTTATTTTGCATCTCTCCCAAGATAGTTTCAGAACCAGTTCTGTACCTCAGTTGCACTGTTCATCAACTCACATGTTTCATTTCTCTCCCTGTACAAAATCAAGCCCATTGTCCCAACTAAAAAGATATGTTACCAAGAATTGTTAGCACAATGTTGGTATATGTGATTCAAAGTAGACACTTGAAAGCTGGGTGAAATCATTTTATTAATTCAAACAAAAAGCTACAAATATGTTTTATCAGCAGGCAGCAAATGTCAAATTAAAGCCTTCTGGTTGTGGTACAATCTCTCTCATATGTTAAATTGACTATGAAGGACAGCAGTGTGAGAGCTTTGGATATCATTTTCTGTTTTATTACTTCTCATTCCAAATGATCAGATTATAAATGAAAAATTCGTAGACATAGTTCTCATAAACTGAACTTCATTTAATAACTGAGTTTTGCCCTAAAACTACTATGTAATATGAGGCAGTAGGTTTAATTAATTAAAGAATGTACCAAACATCCAATTGGTATTTCAAAATCCATAAAAAATAGGTTCATGACCTACTCTGAATAATGAAATATCTTCTTCAATAAAATAAGTTGCCAGCTTGACATCATTTGCAGTAAATTATATTTTATTGACCTTGGCCCATAGCATATGGATAGATCTGTTATGAATCAACAGTTTCTTACTTGTAGAATGTGTCTGGGGGCCATTTTCTTCTATTCTGTATCACAGCTTGCTAAATAATACTGGGATGTTAGATGGGGCATACAGTCTGAGACTTTATCTTTGTTAATTTCACAGTTATTATTTTATTCATGATTCTAAGACAACCATACTTCTAATAAACTGGGCGCCATTATGTAATTTTCTAAAAAAGTAACAAATTACCCCAAGAAAAAAACCTCCTATCCCCTCTCACAGAGATTAACAGCACACAATTTTCTGGAGCACACAGCTGGAGAGGCTTCAGAAGTAACTTCTTAGGTGAAAGAGATAAGTCTTGCATTACATTATAAAAGCGGAAAAGCCTAGCTAACCCTGATTTCCAGCAGCAGTGAATTCAAAACTGAGAACCATGCAATGAGTGTATAAAATCCACTTCTGTGCTGAGAGCCAGCACACCAAGTATGTATTGCTTAAATCCCATCCATCTAAGCCATACAGAGATGATGTGAGTGTGTTGTGAGGGAGGGACTTCATGTAGTAATGGCCCCCAGATTTTTTCCAGGGATTGCAGACTTCACTTGGTCACATAGTGTGACTGTGCCATATCCCTGAATGGAGCTGACAAAGTGAGCCCCATGGAGAGAGGCAAAAGCTGGGAGCTGAAGGGAAGGGTTGCTGATTTCTAGGTGGAGGAAAAGGGGGGAAATTTGCTTTCGCGGGGAGGGGTGTCTGATTCCAGCTGTTCTAGAGGCTGCCGAACCTACATTGTGATTGCCAATATCAGCAGGTACAGGTAATCTCTGAAGCCATATTGTGAAGTCTTGGGTATTACAAAAGACTTGTGTTGTGTCTTAGTGTGGATGAATGTCTCCCAAAACATGCTGCCAGCTAGCCCCACAAGCCTGAACATAAGTTCCATCAGTTTCAGACTCACAGATAACCTCTACAACACCTGTGTTGAACAGTGAGAGGTTGTCTTTCAAATAGCTAGCCACCAATCCATTAGAACTTTCAAGGTAAAGCATAACATTTTGAGATGAACCTATTATGCGGTGTATGTACCCCCCACACTGGGCCAGCAGCCAAAGTGTTAATATTAAGGATGCTAAGGGGCAGGTAATTCACTAATCATGTAGTCGATAAAATCTCGGAGCTACCCCCTTGTGGCTCTGCATTTTAAATGTATTAAGAGCCAGTCACTGGGACCCCCATGGACAGGGGCTGCTGGATCCCAGTCCCCAGCTCTTACTACATTTAAACTGCAGAGCCACAAGGGGGTAACTCCTGCACCCGGTGTGAGCCAGGACTGAGCCAGGCTTGCTTAGAATCATAGAATCATAGAATAATAGGACTGGAAGGGACCTCAAGAGGTCATCGAGTCCAGCCCCCCGCCCTCAAGGCAGGACCAAGCTCCATCTACACCATCCCTGACAGATGTCTATCTAACCTGTTCTTAAATATCTCCAGAGAGGGAGATTCCACCACCTCCCTTGGCAATTTATTCCAATATTTGACCACCCTGACAGTTAGGAATTTTTGTGCTAGGCCCAGGACTTACTCCCATTGCAGCTCTGAAGTTTAATTGTGGTAGGAGCTGGGCTACTGTGCACCTGGCTCTCAAACATTTCAACTACAGAGTCAGAGTGGGGGTAGCTCCTGGACCTGGCACAAGCCAGGACTGAGCACCTTCCCTTATCTCTTTATTGGAAGGACAGAACAGGTTGTGCTAGTGGGGGAGTGGCACTGGATGTGAAAGAAAACGTAGAATCAAATTATTCAAAAGCCCACCTACCTGCCCCCTGGTAGCTCTGCTGCACCATCCCACAGATCCCAAAGTTCATAGACGGCCACTAAAAGGTGCAAGACGTTGGTATTATGTGCTTAGATTATGCTCTTTAAAAGGTTGGCAGTTGCACAAATGAACCAGATATAGTTTGCAGATGGCTGGTCAGAGAACTTGATGGTTGAAAAACGGCAAGTACATTTGCTATACTCTTGATATTCTGCCCAAGCAGCATAAACTATATCCAATGTTGTGACTGAATCTGGAAACTATCTGAGAAAACCTCATCTTAGTCACAGTGACCATGTCTAATGGTTTAGGGCATGTCTTCACTCGCCACAACTGAAATCAGCTTTCGACATTTAATTTAGTGAGTCTAGTATAGACCTGTGAATCGAACACTGAAAGGAGATCCAGCCACTGTCTGTACTCTTCACAGTCACAAGGAGTAAGGGAAGCTGATGGAAGCATTTGCTCCCCTCGGGATTCTGCAGTGGGGAAAACACCAACCTTAGCTTAAGGTAAGCTAACTCCAGCTACGTATTCTATGGAGTTAGCTTACCTTAGCTGCATACCTTAAGCTGACTTTCTAGGTCTAGTGTAGATCTGGCCTTAGAAATGTTATCTGTGCTAATACTGATGTCCTTTAAGGTGATAAACATGAATAATTCAGATACTAACCACTACTCAGTAAGGTCTCAGTGGAAGTAGGTAGTCCTGCAATATGGTCTGGATGGCACCAGAATACCCACATTGACTTTGACCTAGGCCATTACTTTCATAGCATGCGAGTGCAACAAAAGTGTTTGCTGGGGGCCAGGGTGCTATTCCTGCATTTGAGGTCAGAGGAAAGGGAGCTTTTCCTCCTCCATGGCCCAAATTCATGTTATAGCCAGGAGCCTACTAGGCCAAGGTGGGGCAGTATAGGTCAGCTTTTGATTGTATATAAACATTTCAGGTTCTGCATCAGAAGATGGATTATCTTGTTTTGCTTTTACTGATGATTGCTATTACCTGAGCCTGAGTTCAGAGGTGCATTTCAATGGAGTATTATCCTTTTGTGGAAAAAAAGCAATCAGGCGGGATCAACGAGACAGGTAGTAGATGTTTGCAACCAGTTTTCTGCATTGGGCTGGTGTCTTCTGATAAAGTTTTCTCATCCAGTCACGCCAAGACAGGGAGAGGAAGGGAGTTCCTAAAGTATTTGTAGAACTTGTTCACAGGAGCAATTGTTTCTGCTCTCCTTCCAAATCCTCAAGAACAGCAACTGTGTTCCATTATCTTTGTTAATAGGCTAGGGCTAGAGCAGAGAGAGACATACAGCAGGGTGCTGGTTTAATATAACATTCTTTATTGGTGAGAGACTTTTTTTTTTTTTTGCAAGGGATAGCTAAGGTGCGATAAGGTGATGTGCTATGCTGACTTTGGTACACTGCGATGTGAGACCGAGCGGAAAAGAGAGAACTGGCTAAAAATTCAGTTCCTTTCAATATTCTCTCCTGCCTGTTCCTCTTTCTTTCCAGTGTAAATCCATGTCAAATATTTTATAGATTATAATCTAAACCAGAATTATGTGCATATTAATCAGCGGAGAGCTTATTTTCTTAGCGGTCACTTGCACAAAGTAAATTGGTATTAAGTGGGTTTTTTTTAATACCAGTGTCTTTAGAGGTTAAGTGCATAGATACTGACAAAAAATAGAAGCATAATTAAACATGATTAAAGTTAACTGCTAAAATACAAGGTCAAGAATTCTACACTAATCAAGTTACTAGGAGTATGAGGTTGTTTCTCTTTTAGGAAGTCTTCATCATAAAACAGTTATAAATTAAGAAGAGCAACTAATGTTTGAAAACTTCTAAAATGATGTATCTAGAACTGTAAATGCAAGATATAAATTCTACTTTAGTTTGCTGAACCTAAAAAACACCTTATATGCTATTTGGTGTCCAAGGGTATGTCTACACTTCAAAGATAGCCTCAGGCATTCAATTGATTTGGGCTTGGCCTGTTGGGATGAAAATTGCACAAAGAAAGCCTCAGGCATTCAGGTCAATTGATTTGGGCTTGGCCTGTTGGGATGAAAATTGCAGTATGAACCTTCCCACTCAGCTTGGAGCTTGGGCTTCACCACTGTCCACCCACAATGAGTTTCAGATCCTTGGTTCCAGCCCAGGTTGGAACATCTACACTGGTATTTTTAGCACTGCAGCCCAAATCCATGTCAACTGATCCAGACTCTGAGTCTCAATGCTGTAGTTTTTTCTTAGCAAACATCACCAAATATTATTTTAGACTATTTAATATGGACCTGAATGATTTTTGTTAAATGTTCACATTCTCTCTGCATGTATATTTTATTCACATAGACCATATATCTATTTTTCTCAGAAGCAGTCCATGGTGTGTACACAGATCTCCCTGCAGGGAGTTCTGGCCAAATGAGGTTATTTCAACAGCATGTCCACATTTAGTGAATGATATTACTTCAAATGCTCTCCTCAGGGTTAACTACTAGACCCTAGCTCTCTGAAATCAAGAAATCCAATCCTTTTCTTACCAGCAAACATTAGGAATTGAGCCATGTTTTTTTAAGAAAAGTCATCTCAGCACTTCATTCCACCAATGTCAGATTCCAGTAGTTGTGAATGCATTTAAACACTTGCCTCTCTTTAAGTGTCCATTGAATGGATACAGTCTGTATCTTATCAGTAAGACCAGGGAACATACTTGATCAGAGAAAAGAAAAGAATCACAGAAAAGGATGCAACTATCTATTGCATGCATTCTTTATTCATGTGCATTTCTTTCTTTATATATTATGAATTTAAGTTGATTTTTGGGGGGGAATTGGGTGTCCAAATCCCTTACATGGCTTTGAAAATTTTGGTCCTACTTTATTTTTTTATACTTTTGAGACATTAATAATGTAAAGGTTTGTTAGAAAAAGAAAATTGTAACTCCTGTCACATGTTGAATAGAGAAAGGAGTGCTTAATACTTCGATTCTATTCTGTGAAAGCAGTTTATGAACACTAAACTAAATAATCTGTCCAAATCCAGTAAGATAGAAACATTTTCAATATCAATTTTAAACATGATGAAACTGAGGCAGCAAAGTTTCCTCTGACCATGACA